AAAAATATTCAGAAAGAAAAGACACATGAGAAACGCGAGGAAGATACAAGAGACGCGATACAAGTAGAAAATTATGAGAAATTAAGGTTGTGGTCTGCTAGAAATGTTCGAAGTGTTTCCGTTCTTCTTCTATCTTTTTCTGAAAGAAAAGAAAAGACGAGCACTTTGAAACATTTCAAGCGACAGCTTGACCACAGCCCAGGGCTGCATTCAGATATTTACTGCCAGTACCGACAAGCTGTCAGTACCGGCAGTGAACATTGGAACGCAGCCTAGGACCAGAAAAAAGCAAGCGACAAGAGGATTGTAGAACAGAAGACGTAGGCAGATATTATGTACAAGATCGTAGAAGCGCTGCAGCGTTATTTCCAGCTGGGTGCTATTGAACGTGTCGACCTTCAGTATCGTTTCTAGGAGCTCGGCGAACGGCTGGAAGTACGGTATCAGCGTCGGCGACAACGGCTCCTCCAGCGCTGTCGAGACGATGCCGACACGCTGGCATTGCGGACATCGGTTCTCAACTGAAAGTCGCAAGGGTGAATAAGTACGCCGGAATCATGGAAAGCGAATCGCGCGAGGTTTACCTAGTCTCTTTCAAAGCTCACTTACCTTATCGCAGACAATTTTGGCAGGAGATGTGGCCGCACTCTGTAACGTGGTACGGACGTTGTCCCCTGTACATACATCGGGGTGAAGCATTGGTTGCAGATTATCGAGTTCATTTGCGATCTCGACATCTCGCTGAAAGTAAATTGTAACATTATGTAACTGTGATGAGACCGTCGGGCACGTATTACGGGACTCTTCGGAATGAATTACAATCGGAATCATTCAGACTTCCCTAACAAGTACAATAGGAATGTGGGAAATGATCGAAATAACTCCGATCGAAAGCTGTCCCGAGAAATTCCGCGATATGTACCCTTCGAGCGAATATCGGCAAGTCGTGTGCGAAATGACGATCGTTCGCGACTCGCTCGAATTGCACGCAGAGATGCAAGCTTTTATGCAAACGGAGATGCACACGGCCATGGTTGCGCTTGTGTGTGTGAGCACCGAGTGTAGCACTCTCTGTCGGCACCTTTGGACTCAGGTTTCTCTCTGCGTGCACAATGGAAACGCACCCTAAGCGTGCAGCAAGTACAATTTACTGCACCTACGAAGATCAGCTGATCGTAGTAGAGATATTAGATACCTTACCAGAACTCGAATAGCACGTGCAGAATGTAACTTGGAATAATTATTTGTTAGGCGCTGTGAGATCTAAACGTGTTAAAGAAGTATATTAAGTTAGAAATAATAGAAGACGAGAAGGATTTAAAGGGTATGCGTAAAGGAAACGCGAATTGAAGATGCTTTAAAACCATTTTTGAGAGCTGTCGGGGATACCTTTGTGCAACAAAAAGTTTAATTTGAAAAATGGGAAAGACGTCGAAGGACAAGCGCGACATATATTACAGAAAGGCGAAGGAAGAAGGATGGCGAGCCCGGAGTGCCTTCAAGCTGCTTCAAATTGATTCGGAGTGTAACATTTTGGACGGTGCGTGTACAGCAGTGAATGATAAACTTGCTGTTTTTATGACGTATTATTACAGCTTGTTCATTTAACTAAAAGAATACTCTTCTTCCAGGCGTATCGAAAGCGGTGGACCTGTGCGCTGCGCCTGGAAGCTGGAGCCAGGTCTTAGCTCGCAAGCTAAAGTAAGTTGAATTTTTTTTTCAAGGCCCGATAAAAAGGTCTACGCTGTGTAACGCGAAAGTGGTTCCCTTATTATGCGACAATACAATTGTGCATTTCTATTTTATAGCGAGAACTACAAGAAAGCTTCGGAAAGAGGCCCTGCGTCCCCGCCAAAAATCGTGGCCGTTGATCTGCAAGCGATGGCACCTTTGGAAGGTGTTATCCAACTGCAAGGTGACATTACTAACGCCAGCACGGCGGAACAGATCATTGCGCACTTTGATAACTCCCGGGCAGACTTGGTGGTGTGCGATGGAGCACCCGACGGTACGTGCCATTCATTCCTCGCTCTTTTGTTCTCAACAGCTCTATGTGGAATGATGGATAAATTTTATTTTGTTCTCCCTCGCAGTGACCGGTCTACACGACATGGACATATTCATCCAGTCGCAACTGCTACTGGCTGCTTTGAACATAGCCACGCACATCCTGAGACCTGGCGGGACATTCGTCGCAAAGATCTTTCGCGCCAAGGACGTGTCGTATCTGTACGCTCAAATGAGAATACTTTTCCCTTACGTCTACTGCACGAAGCCCAGCAGTTCCCGCAACTCGAGCATCGAGGCATTTGTGGTCTGTAAAGATTACAGCCCGCCGGAAGGCTACAAGCCAAACATGCTGAATCCTTGGATGATGGACGAGCCGTGCAAATTCGAGCATCTGGCAGGTGTGGAGAGGGTCGTCGTCCCGTTCATCGTGTGCGGGGACCTCAGTCAGCCCGATTCCGACACGAGTTATTCGCTCAACGTAAGTGTAACATTTACATTCTCATTTGATTGTAAATCAAATCTAGCGATCCTTTTCTCCTCTTTATACCCGGCTCTTTTATTTCATTCTACCTCGGTTCTATCATTGTACGTGAATGTTCTCAGTACGAAGGTAAGGAGTACAAGTACCACGAACCGGTGCAAGCCCCCATAGCGCCGCCTTACGAGCAAGCGTTGTTAATAAGTAGGAGAAGAGCGGAGAAAAAGACCTCTACATCTAATCACAGCACCGACTTCAGTGAAATCGACATCAAAGTCGCGATTGAACGTGAAAACGAATCATCGATATCCAAAGTCAAGCGGGCGTTGAACTCTGCGGGTAACGCGGACTCCGGCAATGAGCCAAGTGAGGTCGCGAAAACTATTATGCAGGATGAGGATAGTGAAGAGGAAACAGCCATCGATGGGTTACAAAACTTGTATCAGCTTGACTCTTCCGTTTCCAATTACAGCACCGCGGGCGAATATGAAGATGAGTCATTGATATCTGGGATTAAAGTATTAAATGTTTCTGCGGATAATGATTCTGATAACGAGCCAAATACAGCGGCGAAAACTACGAAAAATGAGAATAAAGAAAAGGAAACAGGCATCGATGCATTAAGAAATTGAAACCAATTTGCATCCAAGGGCAAAGAAAATACGGGTAACGACTGAATATACTGCTAAAATCTCTTTACATTTCCGTATATTACATAATTGTTAAATAAATATTCAACAATTTTTATATTCTGAGAATGAATCTTTATCCCTGATCCACTGGTTTAATTTCTAGAAATTGGACTGTCAAAAACGTAAACTCTTCGATTTTCACGATTAGCTTCTTCAATGTTTAAATTGATTTAAAAGACAATATAAAAATGTATATAACCCTTTTCCTAAATAAAAAGCGAAACAAAATTCCCAGTTTTTAAATAATATAGCTGTAAATGAAGTTTGCTTTACCCTAAGTTTTACTCCTCTCGGTTTTTAATATCTCGCGGGACAACACACGCCAATCACAGATTTCTTGAGATCGAGCGTCTTACGTCCCCGCAAAGAGCCAGGTATAAAACGAGAGGAGCGGGGAAGGCATAAACAAAACCGACCGCAAGGCTGAATTATAAACTTTGCTTTTCGAATATCTCTACTTCTTATGTGTGTACGTATTAGTCCGTTTACCTTGTTATTTCCGCACGGACGTATTGGCAAACCGTCGAGCAGTTCGGCTAGTCAGTAAACACCCGATCGTTTCGGCAATCACGTCTGGATATGTTGAGCTATAAGGTATTTAGTAGAAGCGCTGCATATTCGAAGACTCCTTTCTTTGGAGAGGCGGACAGAGTCTGTCGGTTCTGTAAAAAGACATTTTGCTGCACGAAATGCCACGTTCGCCACGTGAACAAGGTACATCCTAACGTGAATGCCGATTGTCCTTTGTGCGCGTCTGAGGTATTATCAATGCGACCATATGTGTCCGCGAAATTGAACTTCGAGGATGATAAATTGTTGTGTCACATAGTGGACAAGCACTTGCCGTTACATTGCCAGCTGTGCGGTGATTTATTTGAATCCATAGAAGATTTCAGAACCGTCGGTACGTATATATATTGATAATTCGCAGTTTAAGTTAATAATAAGATCTGATATTCCACAATTACTCGCAAAAGTCAAAAGGCCTCATCATCCACGATCGAGAATTTTAGAACCAAATTTTTTTCGAAATATTTAACCGTTATTTAAAAGTTTCACATAAAAATTAATTGAAAGACATTGATACAAACTCATATTTTGTTTCCTTGAAATTTAAATAATACAGATTATATAGTCTGTTAGAAGTACAAGGAAATGACCGTGAAATGATGCTTTTCTTCTCTATTTTACAGTTTGGTTTTGATTTGTAAGTTATTTATTTTTAAATCTGTTTAGAAGTTTTGTTACTTGTGGATATGGTTAAAGCATGTAGAATATTCTAATACACAACCAAGTTAAAATCAAAATTGAATTTAAGATTGTCAAGTACATTAACTGAAGCAAACTTATATAAATAACAAATTAAAATTTCTTTATTATAACATTCTCTAAAATTATCTATGTAACGCGTAAGTTTCAAGTCTGTAAATAGATCTTTTAAGTTCAACGTCGGATATTTTTATGGCAAGTATGTAATTAACTTTCTCATTTTTTTAATAAAACATTAGCTACGTGCAAGTGGTTTGAACGTTGGCATTGTTTGACGTCGCCAATCTGTTACGAGCACCCCGAGAAGAAACCGTGTTCTATAAGCGGGAACAGCGATTGCAACAGCAGCAGATTTTGGACGCCGCCGGAAATCTATCGGAAGACTAGCACGCCGATGTTCGTTGGCCAAAAGATCGGCTGTGAGACGCCTTGCGTGCCAGAATTCAGCTTGAAAACGCCCAAGAACTCGCCGTCGATCACACATATTGCGTCGATCTCGAGTACGAGCGATACGCAGTTCTTCAGCTTCACGCAGACCTCGAGCGAAGGGATGACGCCTTTCAGAAGCTATAAGAACGAATTCTCCAGGAACAATTCCGGCAAAAAGCTGAGCATCATGGAAGAAGATGAGAAGATCAGGAATGAAGAAGCCGAGAAGATAACTGCTCACGAATTGTTGTCTCCTGTAAATATAAAATTAACGTCCGAGAGCAGCATTCTGACGATCCCCAAAGATTCACCAAAGTCAGACGATGTAACTGCTATACCGATCAACTTATCGTCCCCTGTAAATATGGAATTGTCCGAGGCCTCACCTCTAAAGTCAGGCGATGTAACTGCTGACTCACTCGAATTGTCGTCTCCTGTTGATATGGAACTGACGTTGTCCAAGGGCAGCCCGATGACCCACGAGGTCTCACCTCCAAAGTTAGACGATGTAACTGCTAACTCATTCGAACTGTCGTCTCCTGTTGATATGGAACTGACGTTGCCCATGAACAGCATCCTGACGACTCCCCCCGAGAACTCATCCCTGAAGTCAAATAATATCCGCGAGGACGTCGTAAAGAAGGTGAGGTTCTCCGATCAGTATAAAACTGCGGGGGAGCTCGAGAACTTGGAGTCCTGCGTACAAGCTATTATCAATCTGTCAATGGAGGAGGTGCTTCACGATGATCACGATGAGACCAACGCGCAAAAGACGAAGGCAACTGCAGAAGACACTCCGGATGCAAGGGACATAATGGATACGGGCAACCCGAAAGACATGTGCGTCGTGGAAAACGCGAAGAACACGAATGATAATCAAGCGGAGGATGAAATGCCCTCTTTAATAAAATCTTCGAAGGATTTTTTAAGCGATTCGCAAAGCAGAACCGTTCAGGACAACGCGAAAAAAGAGAACCGAGATCCCGAAGTGAGCCACGAGGGTGCGTCAACCGTGATTCAACGAGATTCTAACAGAGTGCTGATGATGGTGTTGTTGGAGAACAACTCAAGTGAATTCACTAATGATCTGATGCCACTGATCAGTTCAGGTCTGAAGAAACTAGAGGAGCAACTGAAATCGACAAATTTTCAGCCACCTTCGAAGTCGACCGAGTCTGCTAAGATCTGTAGAAGGTCTATTACGACGATGAGGATGAGAGTCTCGAGTGTCGAGAGGTATTCCGCGAGCAACGAAGAGACGACGAATCCAAATCACAGAGAGCTCGCATCGTCATCCTCTTCATCATTCGTACAGAGCAACAAAAACAATAATAATGGTGGATTTTTGTCAACCGTCTCGCAAACTATAAAGTACGCCTTCAGAAATCTCTCTGGTCGGTAAAAGTTTTAATTATTCGCGAAGCGATTGTTCAAGCGACTCAGAGATAAGTTATCGCGATTCTATAATGTCTGATTCTTTTTAATTTTCAGGCTTGAGAATGCCGCTAAGAAACATGGAGGCAATTGAAATAACTGAGCAACGAGAGAGCAACACAGAATTAACATCTTCACAGGGAACATCCAGTGACAGTAGCAGTCGCATTCGTCCTAGCAAACGGGTTCACGAGGTCACCGAGGAGTCCTCGAGCGAATCAAATTCAATTTTAAGCGCGTTTGACATAAAGTCTCCCCTCGCGAAACGTTCGAGGAGAGGGTACAGAATGATCCGAGGACGCCAGCCAATCCACAGGATGCGGAACAGCCACGTGACAACTTCGTCCAGAGGAGTGTCCGCGGGGACACAGGTTTTTAGTCAAGGATCCTTGACGGTGGGCGACACGATTTTGCCGCTTCCTGCGAGAGCCCACCAATAAAGATTGTGTCAATAATTGGAATGAAATCGAACGCGGAAAAATCAAATATATTTTGAACATTCGACGTTGCTCGAAACAGCGTACAAATCAGAACTCATTATGGCTGCGGTCAAGCTGTCGCTTGAAACATTTCGAAGTATTCTGCTTCTCCTTTCTTTCAGAAAAGAAGGAGAAGAGAAACACTCCGAAGTATTTGTAGCGGCGGCTTGACCGCAACCTATGTTGCAAGACTGGTACGACACATATTTACGCCTTTAATTACAAATAAATGCATAACATTAATTTTTATTGCATATTTACAGATATTAAAAATACAGTACTTAAGGATATGAAAAAGATGAGATCATGCAAGATGTTTTTACCTACAAATTATTGAATACACATGTATTTTTAAAATTAAACTTTCTTATTTAATATTAATTCATTCAATTTGAAATTGCATTAGTTTTTAAATAAACATATGTAACTTAATATAAACAATTTTAATTACAAAAATTTTATTTCTATAAAATTAAACTTTTTATCCTTTAGTTAAAAGTAATTAAAAAGTTATTAGAAAATAATTCGTCTACTTTCTTTATATCACTTTAACACTCAATTTGCTGTTATAAGAACTAAAGTGAATAAGTAAAAATAAAAACGGGAAATATTATTATATAAAAAAAGGATTATCCCTTTGTGGATAATACTTTTTTTATATAA